CTGAACTGTTTACAAATTAAAGCTTGAAAATACGTATTAACAACTACCTCCAAAGGTTATTTCTGCCTATTCTCTGCTATAAGGAAGAAGAGAGTGAAGTACACTTCCTCAAATATAAAATTCCACTTCCCACAGCTGAGCAGCAGCTAGCTTTCAAATTACAAAATCAAACTGGCAATTAGAGGGGAAAGACTCCACGTCCCTCTATCCACTCCTCAATCTTCCCCTTCTAAACTTCAGTTTAGATTATGGCGCTGCAGAGAGGAAGGCTGTGAAGTTCTCCTACAGTATTGCTACAGAAACGAAAAAAGTACAGTATTTCAGTCATCAAAATAATCAGAAGCATACTGGAATCCAGTTTAACCACAAAACCTGCCAGCATGGACATCGGTGCATTCATCAGCTACGTAAAAACTAAGCTTGAATCTTATAGGACAGCTGAGTTCTGCCAAAATATCTCCATCAGCTCCTTCATCTTAAATCTGAAACTTGCTACTCAAGGAGCACTCCTGCAACTCCCCCCCCCAACAAGTGTTGGTGATGTGTATGTGCTCACATAAAGACATCCCTTTTTTCAGAAATTATTTTCTCTTAATATAGGTAGAAGAGGTAGATAATAAAACTTTGATCCTGTATCAAAACCATCCCAAGGTCCAAAAAATAAGGTAATATATTTGGCAGAAAAACACAGCAAGAATATTGTTTCCAGGGTCTCTTCAAAACCAACATTCAAACAGCTGCCACGGCACCCAGCTGTCCCACACTCAGAAAACTCATTTTGAAAAGACACCTCAAAAAAATTTAAAAATCCCCAAAACATTCTGTAAGAGGACACGAGTTGATCTAACTCAGCACATCAAATGTGCTTTTGTACCTCTCGCTCCCTAAGAAGTAGAACAGCAAACAAATTAATAGCCGGATCAATGCTATGCCAGAATTTTTAGCGTGAGCAGCGCTAAACCGCTTTCTAAGCTTTTTTTGATTTTACAAAAAAAGCATGCGAGTATCACATTTATTACGCTGCAACAGGAGAATCGGATTATATTTGAGCAGTGTATCATTTCACCTGGACTAACTGAAATATTCAGTTACACAACAGCTAATCATGAGCAGAAGATAAGCTCTGAGATAAAAATAGGGAGAAAGACAGAGAGACCTTGTAACAGTTAATCAGCGTGATTCATTTGTCAGGCTGCCACACACGGCACCACCTGCAAAAGCCTTGAACTTCCCTCCAACGAGTCGTTTTAAGCAATGAAACCTCTCGGGTTGGTTTTGCTTTAGCTTTATTTCCAAGTCACTCATCAAACTTCTGCTAATCCCCAAATACACGGAGGAATCGGAGTCCAAACGGGGGAGCGGTGCGACATACCCCGTGTGTCACCCAGCCAAGATTAGCCCAGGAGCGACCCCTCACAGTCTTGCTCCACTTCCATAAAACATGTCTGAGCAGATTCCTGCTTCATCCGAAAGTTTCCGAGTCCGGCCTTCCATGCTCGGCACGCTGGCTGGTGGCCAAGTATTTAACTCACTTGCCGCGAGCCGGATCGCTCGGATTTCAAGTTGTCATTGGGATCACCACGCTACGCGGCAAACTGCGACGGGGCCGGCAGCAGCTGGCACGGGAAAGGAGCCGGGCACATGGCACCGGAGGCTGAGACACGGGAGGGCACGGTGGGTTTGTAAGAAGACAGGGATCATTCATAATGGTTACTTGGGTATAGAGCGTTTCATGAAAATAAAACTGATTCTGCCTTCTCCTTTGTCTTTTCCACAAGGCTTCAGACTCTGTTCCCTTCCAAGAGTAAGGCAAAAAAATATCACTTTGGACAATGTGGGAGACTTAAGCATTTGTTGCTGAACAATGGCATCTATTCAAGGTTCAGCCTTGCTCTGGCTGTTAATTAGGAAAGTAAAGAAAATTAAAATAAATACTTATAATTTAAGCCTTCACTCGATATTTGGTGTTCTGATCTCCTCCAGAGAATACTGTCAAACTACCCTCCTGTCCAAAGCAGGGATTTACACTTCCCTGCAACGCCAGCTCGCCAAACCTTACCTGGAGGTGGCATTAAGTTCAAGGCAGCCTTGTGCAGAGTAAGATGCAGAATTTCATTAAGCCAGTCTGCCACGTGTTAACTTAATTTCCCCATTTAAGATGATGCATAATTTAAGAGTAACGAGCAGCTCCACGGTCAGACATCTATTCTCTGTTCTCACTGATGATTTACAGCAGTAACAAGCTGTCCATGCTTCAGGTCAACAGCACCCAAAAAATTACATCCAGGTCCAGGTATTGAGCCTTGAGGCTTTGCCACTAGCCTTACAGTCCAATTCCTGACATGCTCATTCTATTCATTTCACCCATACCGCGTTTCTAGCATTATCGAGTAATTTTCTGAAAATTACATCCAGGTCCAGGTATTGAGCCTTCAGGCTTTGCCACCAGCCTTACAGTCCAATTCCTGACGTGCTCATTCTATTCATTTCACCCATACCACGTTTCTAGCATTATCGAGTAATTTTCTCCTACATATAATACAAACAGAGAATGGGATATTTTAGTGTAAGCAGATGAACAATTTGCCTTGCTGGACGGCTGCTTGCCTTGGGTTGGTTGTTGCAGGTCTAACCAAAGCCCTTCAGTCTTGACCCTTCATAGCTGACCCCGTTTTGGCCTGAAGTTCACCCCAACCACAGCTGCCCCACATTGCAGCCACCATTCAGCAGTTCAGCCATCACCTGATACTGTTTCCTTCAGAGCCAGATACTTTAAGCTGACCCAAGGGACCAAAGTTTAGTTATTTTAAACACTTCCTCTCAGAGCATCTCTGGCACGACTGCAGGATTTCCACCTGCCCTTCCCATCAGCCATGACCAATACCACGACCTCCTGTGCTCAGCAAATATGGGAAAACCACACAGATATTCTTATATATGAGGAAAGGTCCCATGTGCACCGCAACTTTAAACTGTGTCTCTCAGCAGTGTAAACAGATCTGGAAAAAATACCAGCCAGTACAACTAACTCCATCAAAGGCATGTAAGCTTGCTTTCTGCCAAGAGTTAAAAACCCATCCTTTGCATCACAGGTAGGAAACTACATGATTTTCCTTCTCCATCGTGACTATTACCACTTCTCCACATTTCCCAGACCTCCATGCCCCAACACAATGAGGCAATCTAAAGGGTTTTTTTTCTGTTAAAACATTGTGCAACTGTCAGAACAACCCCAAAACACGAAGATGCAACATGTGCAAAGTGAGTGATGCACAACTGCAACCTTAAGCTGCAGCAGTGACACAACTTCGATTTCTTTGCTCAAGTTCCCTAAATATGGGCAAAAAACTTCACCAGGCAGGACAAGAATGGTCACAGCAGGTTTGGTTCACTTCTGAATCATTCAACATGAATCACGTTTACTTCAGACCAAGCAGTTTGAGCTTTCTGTAACATTGTAGCTTTGCTGAGCACAGTAAAAAAAAAAGCCAAAAAATACCCCCACAGATATGAATATATCCTCTATAATATTTATTTTTGCTGTTTTACTACAGCAAGTCAAATGGCGAACCACCTCCCTTTCAATACAGAAATCACGTGACAAATTAAAATTTAACAGGTTACTACTGCTTTAACATATAAATTTTGATTTCATTAGACCAGATGAACTAAATCAACCAAGTTCACCAACTGCAAGTCACAGACGAACACGGTTCAATTACTTCTGGCAAAGGTGAAAAAATACCATGCACTCCACTCAGCAGGCAAGGTGGTTTGTTAATTCACTCTAAATTCCCAAAGCTGCCGAGTCTTATCTCTAAAAAAAATGAAGTTGAGCAACCAGCTGCTATGAAATCAATGACTGTCTTCATTGAAGACAATTTTCTTGCCAAATCAGAGTTTTAATGGAAACTGGAAACCAGAATCTGAGACTTCTCTCAGGCAAAAGAATTCCAGCAGAACCATTTCCAAGCACTTCTTTCCTTTCAACCCAAAGCAATCTACAAAAGCCAGTCAGTTTGACTACAAATATGAAATAAATACTCCTCGGCTTTTCTGATTAAAATAATGTTTTGGCAAAAAGAGCTACCTCTTCTTGGGCAGCTCTCACACGAGGACAGAAATTTACTCCAGCACAGCAGCAGCAATGCTTATAATGGCATTGTACCAGAACACAGCCAAGCTCACAAAATTCCCAAGAAAGAAGAGGCTCTTGTTCCCAGCAGCAGTCTGTGGCTGGGTTCATGTACATTACCCACAAGCAGTATATCTATTTTCAGCACATATTTAGGATCGCAAATTTCAATTCTCTTCAATGGCAGAACATACTGACTTAGCAGGCTCTCTTCCGGAGCCACACCACACCTTGACATCAGGGGAGAGGAAAATACGATTTAAAAATATCTCCTAAATGACACAGCAGCACAGAAATCCACACGTAGCAGTGATCCATCAAATCACAGGCTATTAGTTAACTAAGATTTACCTACAGAAAAGGTTTTTTTTCACTAATTGTTTATATCTTCTCTTTTTTTTTTAAATTAAATTACCCAAATTCAAGTTTCATTATGTTCATCTTGCAGTTAGCCTTAAATATATATATTCTATATATACACACATATATATAACAGAACTTGAAAGGCTCCTTATTAAATTGCTCCACACTTCCTATGCAGTGCTCTTGTAGTTCTGCAAAGAACAGAACCAGCTGAAGTTTTCCAGCTCCAACAACTAAACTTTGGAACTATACTCTCCATATCAGAACTTCAGGATACTCCAAAGTTTACCCAAACTTGGCCAAATTATAGTATGTCTTAAAGAAGTAGCAACTACATAGACCTTTGAACTCTAAGTTTTGATTAAGCTCCCATCTTTACTTTCCTCTTCACATGCCCTCACAGTTGCTTGTCGGTTAGGACTGCAGGTGCTCAGCTACTTAGTTTCGGTGACACACATTTCAGGACAAAGATAAGGGGGGGAAAAAAAAAAAAGAAAAATACCTGTGGATTTGTCCGTTTTTATGCAGGTAGTCCAGGCCTTCCAGCACCTCCTTAAGGATTGTGGCTATACAGGGTTCATCTAGGACACCAGTCTTGTGTTCTCCTTTGGCCACAATATGCTTTATAATATCCAACACAGAGCCTGGAGAAAAAAAAAAGAGGAGAAAATAATAACTAAAAAAGAGTTAAACACCTTGGTTTAAACTCAACTGATTCACATCTAATTTTGTAGAATCATTGAATCGTTTAAGTTGTAAAAGACCTCTAAATCATCAAGTCCAACTGTTACTCTAGTAATGCCAAGTCCACCATTAAACCATATCCCCAGAGCACCACATCTACACATCTCTCAAATACTTTTTAATCACTTAATATACAAGTCCAAGGAATTCACTGGGAGGGAAAGCAATGATGGTGAGGATCAAAGTGAGCAGCTGAAGGCTTTGCTGCCAGAAAGTCAAGGCAACGACACCTGCCTCGCACACAAGTCTTAACCAGGGTGTAGATACTCAAGGTGGGATGTAAAATCCCTGTGATCACAAGTAACCAAGAAATCTGAACAAACTAAAAACGTAAAGTGCACACACACGGGACTCTCGGAAGGTTTTTAAGCTGACGCTGACACTACAGCTGTTTTAGTACTGAGCACTGGAGGAGGAGGAGGGGGAAATGGAAAAAGCAGGGGGCTGCCAGGACTCACAAGCTGAAGGCAACGAGCTTGACAAAATTAGACTCTCTTTTTCAGCTCTTACAAACTCAAAGCAGAGGAATAGCAGGAAAAATCCAATACGCTGATGACACTGTGCTAACAGAAAACAAGTGGAAATAATTAAAGAGAGAACAAATGAGGCTTAATTTTGACAATAAGTCGCTTCTTCATTATGTCCAAAGCTGGAAGAGCTCAGATCCTTCCCTGCATTGTGCCCAGTCCCTCTCCCAACCATGGTGTGAATGACATCATCTCGCATGACAAACCACGCTTCACAGAGCAAACCACCTCTTGGAATTCGGGACAAACGGAACCAACGACTAGTAACTCGCCTCTTGCGCAAGGTTCTGTTCTCGTGATACACCGAGTACTATATTCTTCGTATCCACATCCAGAATGAAGACAGGCTTCTCAGAACTGGATTTTTATTGCTCCAGTATGGGATGTCTAAGTCTGTTTTCCAGGCCTGTACTATGCAGCCCCTCCAAACTTGGGTTTCTGTGGTTTGATGACTGGATACTCAGCTGGTAGGTTTTTTCATGGCTATGGGCACAAAGCAACGTCAGCAATACTGGGACGTTCTTAAAGGATGAGAAGAGCAGGCACAACTGCCAAACACAGGTTTCAGCTTTGATTATCTTTGAAGAGTAAGCTTACAGGGAAAGAACACCTCAGCACTAACTGAAAAAGCTGAGTTGAGTCTTTTAAGAAAGTTTAGAAAAGCTCATTCTTCCTAATTCACAATCAAAAAAATCATAAGAGAACAGATAGAAAAATTGTAAGAGAACAGATAGAAAAACAGCTGAAGAACAGTAAAAGCTGAGAATCTTACTCTCATGAATCTGGTCAGTGTAGAAATTACAAGTTCCACCTTGCAAATTCTCGAAACAAACAAAAAGATAAAGTAGGGGGGTTGTTGTGTGGGCTTTTGGTTTGCTTTTGGTGGGGCTTGTTGTCATCTGTTTGCTTTCACCCTTCAGGTTTAAGTAGAGAATAAGCCTTTTCCATTCAAAATTTATTTTGTTAACTACCTTACTTGAACTTTTAGGCCAATACAATTGCACAGACAGCTTAGCAAAGTATTTTATGATGGGGTTCTCACATGAAAGTAAAAAGGCCGCAAGGTTTGAGCCCCAAGACTATGTGGAAAGGCTTGTTTTGCACAATCAAAGAGCACAGGAAAGAACTGCAGGGGTGCCCGGTGTGCCTTCGCTTGCAGGAAGCGGTACACGCCGAGTTCATCTATCGGGGCGCTGCAGTCAGGGGAGCTGCTGTTCACCACTCCCCAGAGCCACACGTTTCCCACCTTCTCTGGTCCACCAGCATCAGTCCTCCTGCTGTACACCAGGCCACCTGCTAAATCCACTGAAAAAATAAACTGGGAGGACAAAAAAAAACCCACAACAAGCCATCTGTGTCGGGTTGGCAGTGATCATAACCCCTGACCAAATGAGTTTCGGAGCCACAGAAGAAGAAAAGGTGGGAGGAAACCCTTTGACAGCAGCAAGAGATTCAACCAGCTCCCTGGCTCCAGTTTCCTCTGCAGCTGGGAGAATGGCACCTCCAGCTTCCTCTTCCCAAAAACCTTTGCTTGGTAACACAGCAGATGTTAACAAACCGCCAAAAAACCAAACACAAACAAACAAGGAAAATGAAAAAATACAGACGTGAAGTTGCATAACATCCCCCCAACATTTTATGCAAGAATACTCTTAGTACTGTTTGGCCTTCCTTCATCTTACCAGAGCACAGAAACACTCATCTTCAGTGACTTCTGACACAGAACTTAAAACTAGTTGGCCACAGGTTTCACTCAGCCATAACTTGAGTTGTTTTGACATACGCAGGACTTCTTGCATGGGAGTAAGATTATCTCTACCAAAGGAAATTGTAAAACCCCAGACATCAGAGCATGCTCCTCTACACTGAAATCTCACCTTATAGATCCCAGTGTCCGAGAAAAGGATCCTCTGATGTGTGTCACAAGGACTCACCTGGGACTCAGTTTGTCACATATTCATATTTTTAAAGTGCGTACTTAAAAGCTTCAACGTTTCTTATTTTGGACAAGAATTTTTGGGACACCTAAAAAAATAAAAAGCAACACACCACCAACTTCCCCCCCCTCCACTTTTACTGTTCAGGTTTTGCCTCTCAAATGTGCCTTTATCCAGAGAACAAACTGTCACTTGTTTTAGAAGTCCAGTGCAAATATGTGGTTCTTCACGCACTCATTTTGTGCCCTTTCCACCCACAACTGCGTTAAGCAGACTTTGTTCACAAACACTTCCCTTCTCCTGTAAAGGGCTCAGGGAACATGAGGAGGCAGATTGGCAGATCATATGGTACTCAAATTCATTTTGGTCAAAAAAAAAAAAAATTAAAATATCCTGTATTTAGCCAAGTTAGAGGTCGTATATTAACCCAGAAGAAGGGGTGGGGGTTAGACAGACCAGAGGGCTTGTGCCGAGCCAGCCCTCCTGGTGAAAAGGCTGATTCACACCCATACTTTATCTGCTCCCAGCCCAGTGTGCCACTTTTTAAACACATCTTTTGACAAAACACTTGCACATTCAGATGTTTGAAGAAGCGGAGGAATTTGTCAGTCTCCTACCAAAAGGAGAGCAGCAAAAAGGCTCCCAGCAAAACGCTTAGTTCAGAAAGCAGGAGAAATACAACCCGAGAAACAGTTTCCTCAACAGGAAGGTGGCATTTGGATGATTCCTCACTTCGTTTGCACAGACAAAACAAGTTTTACTACTCACAGCACAATTTAAAGTTGTGATCTTTCTACCTAACAACAAATTTGGGAGTTGGTACTGACTCAGCTGCAACTTCGTAAAGCACAGCCTTAAGAGAATACAAAGAGTGCAGCCAGGCTGTGTTTCCACACTGCTTTGTGCCACGTCCAAAATCTTCCAGCACTGCGACTCAGGAAACCTGACATGGAGTGACCGAATCCCCAGATCCCCAAACAGGAACCCACAGGTAAGCACGAAGCTCCTTTGTTGAAAGCAGAAGGCATGAGAATTTTGCTCCTGAGGAAAAAGCCTTCTGCCAGAAGACAGAGACTGGATCTCAGCGTTAGCCTGACAAATTCCATGCCAAGTTGTTCCCAAGGACCTCAGTCAAGCACGTGATACTTTTACAAGGGTAAGACCTGCACTGACACAGGATGCAGACAAGTTTTCTCACTTACACCAACTGGAATTAGTAGCTCAGAGCCCTACCTTCAGCTGAGGGGGAAAAGTGACCATTGTCACACCAAGCGGCTGGTTCCCAATCCAGCAGCACATGAACTGCTGGAAATAAACTGGAAACTAATCCAGCTGAATTTGAACCAAGATCCAACCCGTATGTGAGCGCGTGCTTTACAAACCAACCACACTGTTTGAAAACACCAGCGTGATTTCACATCCTGTCAGTTTCTGAGCCAGGTTTCCAACAAGTTTAAGAGTAAGCAGGGAAGCTGAGAGTATATCCGAACGTAGCTGGATCTCCGCGTAAACGCAGTTTCGGTATGGATTTGTGCTCCATGTGCAAACTGCTCAGTTTCGTTGTGCAAGACAAAAATCTCCCGTAGTCTAGCAGCCAGAAGATGAAATTCACACTGGAAACACCAGAGAACAGTTACAAGCCTTACAAGAGGAAAAATCCACTATAACATCTTTTTTTAAAATTTTATATATATATATACACACACACACACACACACACACACCTTTGACTCCCCCCTAGAACAAAATTTTTATTTTAGATAACACTGTGAAGTGTTATCTAAAATAGATACACACTCTGGTGTGCATTATCCATGGCACTAGGTCTGATAACAACAGTCCCCTCCTGATTATTCTTGTTAGAAATGCACGAGTAGAAGTTCCAAGATTCTCAGAACAGGAGGGATCAGTCTGAAGGGAGAGAGAAAAAAAGAACTAGTTTTAGCTGAGGCTGACTGAAAAGCCCTTCCAAGCCCAGAAGGGGAAGCATATCAGGAAAAGGCAATACAAGACAGAGGGAAGAGCCAAAGCTGGAGCCTAAAACTAAATAATGCTGTCATGAATAAGGATGTTTAAAGATGAGTAACCGATCTCAAAGCCCAACAGAAGTGACAAGATTTAGAGACTGATGTGGAAAAAACGCAGCTATAAATGAATTCCTGCCCATCAAATACTCGGCGGCACGCCAACAGGAAGCCTACGAGACACGGTGCAATCTGATTCAGCATTTAGCATTATTTATCATTCAGTGTTAAAGTTTCAGTATATCGATGCCAATCACAAACAATATTACATCTCAGTAAATCATGAATTGCCCAGTACAAATTGTACGGCAGGTTTGAAAGGGAAGCAGTTTTCTGCTCAAACTCACCAGTTTCCCAGCCTGCCCCAAGAGCTGCTAACGCAAGAGCTCCTACTGACCACAGAAGATGCTGT